TGGTCCAACCACTCTGGACAGCAATGTGGCACTTCCTCAGAAGATTGGAAATAGAAATACCTTATGATCCAGCAATTCTTCTACACAAGAAATATGAGCCATAACACGAGTAGATATATGCACACCAATGTTCATAGCACACTATTTACAATAGCAAAACGTTGGAGACAGCCTAAATGCCCACCAACTGAAAATGGATAAACAAACTGTGGTACATACACACAATGGAATATTATGCTGCCTTGAAGAATAACAAGGATGCTGAAAGTCATTGCATAAGATGGATGAAACTTGAGGACATTATGTTGAATGAATTTAGTCAGTCACAAAAGGAGAAATACTGCATAGGACCACTATTATAAAAGAGTAAGAAAAACGACCCATAATACTAAAGGGTGGGAGGATTCTTTGCTGGTTACTGCGATGTGGGGGGTGGAGTGTGGGTAGGGAGGGAAGGTGGAGCACAGGGTAGGGAATAGACAAAGGATAGTTTGGGTGCTGGGGAGGGTGGCAATATACAAGAAGGGGGAGGGGAATGGAAGAACAAGGCAGATGGGAGAGCAATTAGGCAGGTTTGCATAGACTAAGTGGGACAGAAGTAAATAATGATGCATGCACAACCTTGGAACAACAGGGCTCCAGTATACAGGGATTGAGTCATGGTTGGAATGGACAAAACAAGGGAAACAATGTTAAGGTACTTGGCTGTCTTTTGAATCTTTGTTTCCCTTGCATCCATTATAAAAATAGACATTTGAACTGGAGAGAAAGGAATAGCCAGAAATATCACCATAGGGAGCTTGTAAGTCCATCTTCTGCCTATAACTGATTGGAATACCTAAAATGGGGCTACAACCTGCCCAGTGAAAGAGGCGCTTGTGGAGCCTCTGCATTACATAAGACTATCTGTGGAATCCTGATCCCAATCCCGAATCTTCTGAGGTGGGAAATTTCCACTTGAAAGGACAAGCAGACCAGCCGGAGTGGCTAGAAAAACAGAAGATACTTCTTGAAACAAAGATCGACAGGAAAAATAGAAAACAATAACAGTAGTGTGAGTGACTACTGCAAGAACAAGCAAGTTGCTGCCTAGGAGACATCAAGTCAAGTGGCCGGGTCCCCTCAGGGCAAACTCCATTCCAAGACTAAGACTCAATGGCAATATACGAGGAGACATGTGCTCTGACTGGTGACAACGTTGGTCACCAATAACGGGAAGTGAGAGAAAAACAGCAATGAAGTAGCAAGCTAAGGCCTACCACGTTCAATAGACTCCTGTGCACCCAGGTAGAGACTTGGTTGGCCAGCAGTATGACAAGACCTGGGGACTCCTGGGCCCAGAGCCAGTAACATAGCTACAGAGGACTACAGTGGAGAGTGATGTAACAAAAGGAAGTGAGTGGTTGACTTTGCAGCCCAGGAGCGGAGTTCCCTGGGACCATCAAGGGAGAAGAGCAGAGTGAGGGACCCTACCCAGAGAAGCAGTGACGCCAGAGATGATGATGTGGAGAGATAGAGCGGCTGGGAACTCTAGACCCAGGGAGGGATAGGGGCTAGGTGCTGACAACCAAGGGACAGGCTTGCAGGGTGTACTCTTTGGTTGGTTGATGATCTGTGGAGGGGATTGTAACCATGGCAATGAAACAATATACAATAGGATGAATGTAAAGCTAATGTTCTCCCATGTAAACTATCACATAATTCACAGTAAAACATTTAATAAATAAATAGTTTAGAAGCCCTACTTACCCTCAACACATCTGTCAAAGAACAATTTAAGGAACACAAACAGAAAGAATTACATTGTAAGCACAGGGCAGCTATTTTCACAAAGAAGTCGTTCATTCTTCAAGAATCTATAAATAAAAGCTCGCAACATATTCCGACACACATACATACATAATTACATACAGTCTCCATAAATATTTGCATATGACATAAATATGTATCTTCCTTTATCAGTATATTTAAATATTATTTCAATTTTAAAAGGTTTTAAACCTACGAATGCTTTGTCTAAGTGCTAAGTATTACAAGTTTAGAAATACTGCAACATTGTCTAAAGTTAGAATTTATGAAAATTAATACAAACAAGCATTGTTTAGGTTGAATAGTTATATATATTCAGCACTGGACTCTAATTACAATAACAATAGTTCTCAAATTGTAAATTCATTATTATACTTTGCTTCTTTTTGATTAATTTTTGTTAAAATCCAAGTGTTTGAAAGGAGAAAGAACAATGAAATACCAAAATGTTACACAAGTTACATGGTAACATTTAAAGCATCTGTAGTACTACTACTTCAAATTGTTGAAACAATTTTAAAGCAAAATCAGCATGATTTTCTGGTGTTATTTCATACGTTGTTGTTGTTATATGCTGTCGAGTCAGTTCTGACTCACAGCAACCTTGTATAGGGTTTCCAAGGAGTGGTTGCCACTTTATTGGCCCGGTGTTTATCCTACAGCACCATACCAGGATGGCGATTTCATAGTTGTTGTTGTTGTTGTTCAGTGCCATAGCGAACCTGTACAGAGTTTCTAAGGCTGTAAATCTTTACGGGAGTAGAAAGCCTCATCTTTCTCCCACGGAACAGCTGTTAGTTTCAAACTGCTGACCCTAAGGTTAGCAGCCGGATTCATAACCACTGATAAGTTTGTTTTCATTTATTTCTTCCATGTTGGGAGAAAAACAAACAAACACCAAACTTCATTCTAAAATTGCGATGAAACCTGTGACACAAGGAAAAAACTGAAACCATAGGTATTAATTAAAGAAGTCTGACAAATTTCCAAGGTAGAAACGGGTAAGTCAAAATATCTGGTTATCACTTCAAAGATAAATCAGAATCACAGACTGGCTAATTATTTAGAAATGGGAAAACTTTTATTTCAGCTAGCATTCTTTGTTTGCAAACAGGAGAATCTTAATTAAAATAGGAAGAAAATTTTCAGTAGAATATGTGGTGGTAACCCAAAACTCTGAATGCAAATTGATACAAGCAGCAATCTGACAGTTCAAGGCCTACATCAAGATCTAGAGAAGGAACCTGAGACTATTTACAATAAAGGAGGAGACCTGCACTGGCAATCTCACCAAGGCTGCAAGTAAGGAGAAACAGTTCCCTAAACAAAAATGAATGTGTAGAAACAAAACATGGGAAAATGGATGAACATAAGAAAGCCAATTGGTGCTAACATCAATATTTTCAATTCAATGTTTATTGCTTACAGGTGCCTACACTTTTTTCTTAATACCAATAAAAATTTTTGAAAAATAAACACATTTGGTTGAGAAGGAATGGGAAAATGGGTGGAATGTAAAGAGGAAGCACAGGGGGGACGCGGGATAACTGTTGTTGCGTGGAAAGGATTACAATCATTCAGATGAAACAAAGTGTACGGTTTCTTGAATGTAAAACTAATGATCGTGTCTGCAAACGTTCAGTAAATTCATAATAAAAAGTATTTTAAGGGACCTTCGCCTCATGGAAACAGAAAGGCTATGTACTGGAGGCTAAAAGAGAGGCTTGCAGAATGTACCCTTTGGTTTTTTCAAATGATTATATATTCCTGAGTCTTTTTGTGTACATCAAAAACAAACTAACATAAACAGAATAGAAGCTAATGCAGGGAGTGATGATGCACCAAGGAAACTGTAATCATTGCAATGAAATGATGAGTGTAAAACCATTGTTCTCCCATGTCAACTATCGCTCAATTCACAGTAAAAAACCTTTAGAAAAAAATTTTTTTTATAAATACATCCACATTGGGAATTCCCCCGAAACAATGGCCCTTTAATATACTTCATATATGAAACTTGATTCATCACCTTCAACCCTATAAAATGAACAATAATACCCATGGAAAACTTGCTCCACAGAACAATCAACTGTAGAAGATAAAACAGAAACATTTGCCAAAAAACAAAATTCCAAAGCCAGGAAGGAGCAAGAAAGAATGACAAACCGAACAGAAAAATCCAAGGAAGAAGTGAAAAGAGTGTTGTTTGCACTGAGAGAATTACAACTAGATTACAGAGCAAAATGTGTATAAATTATTGAATGGGAAACTAATATGTTCTGTAAGCTTTTATCCAAACCACAATAAAATGTTTTGTAAAAGTTACAGTAAAAAAAAATCACTGGCATCCAATCAAAGGGACAGGTAGGAATGTGCTCTTACCAGTCCGGATGAATAGATGGTTTCTTCTGCTGCAACTGTAACAATTACTTAGCTCATTCAGTATCATAATGTGAAATGAGCAACATGGAGACTCATACTGAAGTAGAAAGATTCTTTTACCTAAAAAGTTTGGTTTTTCACAATTATAAAGAGGCAAACTGAAATTATCCTCCTGCTAAAATCTTAGAGCCATTTTTCTTTGATGTTCATTTACGATATTAAAAAATCAAGGTCAAAAGATCCCATTTCATTTTTGGTGAAGTGATGTGGCCAGGAAAGAAATAAGACCCATAGATGTGATAATTAAAACTCCTTAAATATAAATAGGAATCAGCTTGAGCTAGCTTAGGGAAATATCATGGCCAGTTATTAAGAAGATTTAAAATGTTTTCCATTATCCAACGGAGAGCTTGCAACAAGGCTACACAATAAAGGACAGGAATAAGGAGTGAAATGATATCTGAACATAGGAATTAATTTATCTCAATTTTTTATTTTTCTGCATAGAATTTCCTATTTTTCTTACTGCTCCTGATTGAAAAATAAAGGTTGTACCATAGTACTTTTGAAAAGAGAATATGATTGATATCACTTGATTAAAGTAGCTATATTCCAGCAAATATCATGGTGAAAAACAAATACCATATCAGGCTCTCTTGAATGGAGATCAATCCTAAGACTAATAAAATACCAAAGAGCTCTTCCTCCATGAAACACATTGAAGACCACCTCTGGATATCACCTTCAGAAAGGACTAGGGGAAAGATGAAGAAGTCCAAAGGGAAGTTAACTTCTAACCTGACCAGATAGTAAGTAAGCTGGTCTATTTAGAACTGAAAGATGCTTTTTAAACTGTAAGATGAAAAGATATTGCTGATCAACAACATGTTATCCCACAACTCAGAGGAAGAGACTTGAAACAATTTAGATTAGTAATAATAAAAAAAAACTATTTTCCCGTACATCTGGGAGTACAAGCACTTTTTAACCCAGTTGCATTAGCAAAAGCCTAGGAAGTTAGATTTGCAGTATAGAAAGTGAACATCATTGAACACAGGACTGTATATAACATGATGGGAAATACAAAATAAAATACAAAACAAAATAAATCCTTTCCCATCTAGTTGTTTCCAACTCACAGCAACACTATGTTGTTGTTGTTAAGTGCTGTCGAGTC